CGTTAACTTCAGCATTGAATAGAACTGAAAAGCAATTGTTTTTAAACAATTAAAAAACTTCGTTGTGGGAAATCAGTGACAATGGTCGGATTACCAATATCATTTTGTACTGTTGTTCTGCGAAAACCTTTTCAATGACACAATACAATACTTGATTCTCTTAAAACAGTGCGTATCCATTCTTTTCACGTCACATTCCAATTCATGCATGAATTGTTTGTTGCAATGTTTATATTACTTCTGATTGAAAACATTGGAGCATGCAAAAGAACAAGAATTCAAATCGAGTCGCTAAAGTTCAACTTCAATTTTTTCCTCGGAAATCATGGCATTACAGTAATTATACTATACACTAGCTAGCTACTAGCTCCTTACCCAAACATTCGATTCCCGGACATCAGCGCGGCTTTCAATCTGCCTTCCAAACGCSTCCTCCTCCCCTCGCCCGACTTCTTTATCTTATTGAGGCTTCTTTTTCATGCCGAGATCTTTAATGATCTAATTTTATTCTACCTTGTAATTAATTTCAGTTAAGCTCTAAAGCGTGGATTTCACTAGCGCATAAGCATAGCATAAGCACAAGCATGAGAATCATATACGCCAGTGAGAACGGGCTCAACATAAGCATAAGACATTGAGCATGGCACGAGCGTATTATTTCGGTACTAGGCTATGCTTATGCCTACGCAGTCCCGTTCTTACTAAGCATAAGCATGAGATAAGCATGAGATAAGCACAAGAAGATCAAGCCTTGCTCGTTTTTCTTGTGCTCATGCTTATCCTTATTTTGAGCCTGTTCTCACTGGCGCATATGACTCTCGTGCTTCGTGCTTATGCCTATGCTTATGCGCTAGTGAAATCCACGCTTAAATGAATTTTGATAATTTTTGTGGCTAGTGCCTSGGAACGAGACTCTAGCCACTATGCTATCGCCCTGAAAGTGCGCGTGAATGTAATTCGGGATTATATCGTCTCTATCCGATTGATGTCCGATAACAGGTCGCTAATCCTTCTCAAATTCCTCGTATAAATTTCGTATGTAAATATTACTGTCAATTGGGTTACCTGTGTACTTATCAGTAAGATTTACTATTCACAGCCATAGTAGATTTAAGAGACGTGTGTTTTTGTCCCTACTACGCAGTAGTAGAGGACAATGTTATCCTGTAGACTGTCACGCGTAAGTCCGTAAGAGTGTAACACTCGGTAATATCAAGCAAATTTTTCATAAATTTATACCTGTTGATCGCTATTTAAAACMAYCATGATGAACAAAATGCCCTAATACACACATTATAYAAGTTTTAAAGATTAATATATCTTTTTCATAGAGAAAAAATAGGAAAATATCCGCGGAATATTTTTAGGTGAACGATTGCGTGACCACCACTCGTTCGCAAAACCATTCCAGGCTCCCCTCCGTTCGAACACAGGTAGCCAAGCTCATTATTAGTGGCTTGTACAATTTTGCCGGAAACGGTTAAATTTCAAATGGTGTCTGAAATGTTGCCTAAAATGACTGTAAACTCTAAATCTTTTTAGGCTACGCGTCGTGGTTTCCTACGCTTCTCTCGTGCTCTCCCTACATCCCGCGTGTTTTGATCAGAGTATCAAACACGGAATTTCGTCTTTTATTCCTTAAATCAAACACGGAATTTCGTCTTTTATTCCTTAAATACAAAATAATGTCCAACCTTTCATTACCTTATTAGTAAGATCCACTATGTAACACAACCAAAAATATAACAGTGTTTTTTTTGAGAAATATACTTAGTAAGTTGCAATAATGAGTTTGAGTTAAGATTATCCAATAGTACACCTTTTGCTGTTCATTAGCGTAAAACGTACACTCATTTGTGCCAAGCGATGATTAAGTGATAACTTTTATTGTACTTTCTTGAACACTGTAAGCAACATCATTGGTGCGAAACGACTTTCAATAGCGATATTTAAATACGCGCGAGCATTCAACAGTATCAATAGACAATCAACTGAACGACTGGACAATCATTTGGGTGGAACGTTGTTTCATGTGCGCGCAATGAAAATTCAATAGCACCAATTKACAAACGGTTGCATTTATTGACAATCATTCAACCAAAAATGAAACTTCATTAGTGTTATTAGCATAAACATAGAGTGCATGTCATAAATGTGTGAAACAATAGCGTAACTATTTTTTGGGCGTATCGGTATTAAGTTGCATAGCTGCTAACTTCGTAGTTATTTTCTTCATATAAGAATTGATTCAGGCGTAAAAACAAAGACACAAAGAAATCAAAGATAGACGCATTCTTGCATTAAAATGCGTCTATCTTTGATTTCTTTGTGTCTTTGTTTTTACGCCTGAATCAATTCTTATATGAAGAAAATAACTACGAAGTTAGCAGCTATGCAACTTAATACCGATACGCCCAAAAAATAGTTACGCTATTGTTTCACACATTTATGACATGCACTCTAGGCAATCTATAGCGCGTTTGGACAATCATAGTCATTCGAGAATACATTCTTTAGTGAGTTTTGACAATCATTTGAGCGATTCAAAATACAATAACACAAAAGAAAAAATCAATACTAYTTGTCATTTCTATTTTTTCAGCCTTCGATAAATGATAAACTGTCTGTTAATATAACGGGGTAGATATTTTTGCATAAAACGGAGCCAGCCCACATTTAGCTGGAATGATTGTTTCAATACTATTTCATTCAAAGCCTCCAAAAGCAGCTGTGTGCGGTAATGGCCCAAAGCAAGGCCTTGATTTCTTTCTTATGATGCCTGCTTTACACAACTAATCCATCACATAATTAGTTTGTGCTAATGATCTTAAATTGATCAGCTTAGGCAAATGTAATATTCGACGTTTGACACGACTCCAGTTAGAAACGTCAAGTCTTATAGTGTATGAAAAGACAATATTTTATCGTATATATTACTTTTAGTGGTAAAAATCTTACCTTGTCATGTCCGCCTACACAAGAGTTTGGTATCTATTATAGTACTACCCCTTTGGGGTACTACACTTGGCATAATGAGTTTAAATGAGCATAATGAGGGTTTAAAATATTTTTATCCTATCTCTATACTGTACGATTGAGTATTTGTAGTAGCTGCTGTTTTTTTTTATGGCCAAGCGAGGAGAAACGTGGGGTTTTAAAGAAACCAGCATTTTAATTGATTCATGGGCGGATGAAAAAATTCGGCACAGTGTTATTAGGAAGAAAGACAATGGAGTTAAAGAGGGAAAGGATGAGACGAAAGGATTTGCTGTGTTGCCATATGTGAAAGGTACTACTGAAAGAGTTCAAAGAATTTTACAGCAGCATAACATCAAATGCTGTATTAAACCAGATAAGACTTTACGACAGATCCTCTCCAAACCTAAAGATCCGGTGGAGTATGAAAAACAATCTGGGGTTATTTATAGGATTTCCTGTAGTGAGTGTAGTACTCAGTACATTGGCGAGACAGGAAGTGCGTTAAGGACACGTAGAAAGGAACATGAAGCGGCTGTCAGACTGGGAAAAACAAGCTCGTCGGCTTTAGCGGAACATGCAAGCAAAACAGGCCATGCGATTAACTGGAAGGAAACATCCATCTTGTGCAAAGAAAGCCGTTGGTCGCAGAGGAGATGGAGTGAGGCAATAGAGATTGCAATGAAGAAGAACGTTTTGTTTAATAGGGACAAGGGGCGGATGATCCCGCAAAATTATCTCTGTGTAATTAGAAGTTAGTTACCGCGCGCGCTTATTAGATCTTCTCAGAGCGCGCGCTCATTGTTTTTATGTTGTTTTGTAAAATGTAACGTTTTTCATTCCTTCTTGATAATGGCTCGGTGAGCCGAAAGCTCGACGAAAATAAATAACTTTTAGGTTGAAGTAGCGCTTACATCGTAACTTGATTTGTATATATTTCTATTAACAATCTAGTAGCCATATTAGTCATGGCCAGAAAATCCGGACATATGAGCCCGCAATAGCAGCGGTACTTCGCATAAAGCACAAAACATGTTTGTTAAATTTTACAAAGAAATGTACGGATCAAAAAAACTATTTGAGAATAACATTTGATCTGGTTTACCTGGAAAGTTTTCCAAGATGAATTCCTGGAGGGAAACTATTCTTGATTCCACTGTAGGAAATCCAAATAAATACAATATTGTTAAGAGCGTCCTTTTTGACAAATATATTTTCCTTTCGTAGGATCTTGTTTGCTAATTATAAATTAGTCTCCTATGCAACCGCTCCCTTTCTCTCCAAGTGTTGTCGAACATGCTTTCGTGACCCTTAACCGTATACGACCGTATTCACTTAAGATGAGAGTTTCACGTAAGAGACGAGTTACTTGTTGATGACGAGTGACTCACCCTACTGTGAATTCGGTTCGAAGCGAGTTTTGAGCTCAAATCTCGTCAAAATTTACCAGTCTTTTTGCTTGTCATAGTAGACGCGAGTACGCTTAACCGCCTGAACTTAACGGGGAAATATGTTGAAATTAGGTACGAATTCATAATAGAATGGTTTGGATGATGGGCTTCAGGTAAAAAGAAACCTAGGAAGGAATGGAAATAGGATGTCAATGCTTGTAGGAGAGATATTGATTAAACGTTTTAATCAATATTAATCGTTTTAAAGTCTGGTAAGAAAAAATACCGCTGCAYTTATTTGCAYCTTACTYCAAACAGAATTTCCACCAAGCTTTTTATACGAAAGTACACATTTATCCGTCTAAATATGAATTTCAGATGTATAGAACGTCGAGAGAATTCGACTAGAGACGGTAACTGAATAAAATATGATACGTTGGTTTCATAAGAGCACTAATCTGCTTTGAGAAACAGCGGTTCGGCACCACAAACCATTTTTCAGTCACTCGGTCGCAGTGAATAAATGTTTAATGTTGATTGCGTCATGTCGAAGAAATCATTTAGAGAAATTGACTGAATGAATTTGGAAAACATGCCCACGTAATTATGAAAAAAA